TGGTATCGAGCCTCTGTTCCTTAAGACTGTGACACAGTCCGTTCTGCTGGCCAGGTACTGGTTTGTGATGCTCTGGGAATTTCTTCACAGGTCCTGACTGTAAAACTGTATCTTCCTGGGTTTGGAAACAGCTGGGAATCGATCTATGTGGCCACGGCTGCACCCCATGGGCAGGCTCTCACGCCTTCCCTGAAAGGAGAACTGGCAGGTTCACCTTCTGTCCTCCCTGGAGATATCAGGAACAGTGAAATGTGTGCAGGCAGAGAGCACACAAAGCTGAGAGCGGAGGGCAGGACAAAGCGCAGACAGAGCTGTGGGACTGAAAACCAGTGGAAAACTGGGAGGCATTTTCCTGCAGCTACACAAACCAACTGAATTGAGGAAGCCTGACAAAGAGGGAACACTACCAGCAGTAGTAGTAGTAGTAGCTAAAATTAACCATGGAGGAGATGTCTCCACCAAAACCACTGAATTTTACTGCATTAAATATGAGGGATCTTCAAAATATTCATCGGAAAGGCGCATTGTGGGGGAAAAAACAAACTATATGTGGATTTAAAATTATTTTTGCACCCAAATAAATTGGTCTTTGAATTCCACTTTCCTGAGAACTCTTAAAGAGTGTTTTTGTATTCTCATGGGAATATCTTTAAATTTTACTATGCACAATCCTTTTGTCACCCACGCCCATGTTCGTTTCTCACTGAACAAATTTCACCTCCGAGCAGGGTAGCCAGCACAGACTCAACTCTTGATCGAGACTCTCTACTGCTCCCTGGTGGACAGCAAGGGCACATGGCAGAAGAAGCATGGTAATTTGTCAGCCCATCAGCAACAGATCCGTAACAGAGCTGTGCAGGAACAGTCATCCGCCAGAAACAGCTTCTTCAGGAAAGCAAGCATACATAAAAGTGCTGCTTTTAGGAATGACCCAACCACCACGATAAACTTGCTTAAATAATAGGAAAAGTTTGTTTATAAAATAGTGCTAGCAGTTGCTTCAGAACTTCCTGGGCTGGGAAACAAGTCTAAGAGAATTCTAACACCCCTTTGATTTCTTTTTTAAAAAAGTGGTAAAATACATTTCAATGAGAAGCATGCATTGGTCCAAAGAAACGTTGAAGTCCAGGTCAAGTTTTTCATAATATTCATTTCTGAAAATTCCTCCCATACATGGGTTTCACCTTTTTTTTTTTTTTTTGCATCAAAGAACATTTTTAATCCCATTGTCCTAGAACTTTCAGAAGCCCCCTCCTATATTACTCTCTCTGTAAGAATATGGGTGTTTTCAACAGGACATTGAAGACCCCCAGGGCAGGGTCTACTTCATGCACGTGTGAGGAGGCGTGGCCCTCAGTATCTTGAAGAAGACCCTGTCCTAGTGTCCTACGAGGGGATAGGGTCGGTCTCTCTTGTTGCAAGTTCTCCCAGGTGGATGCAAAAGTGTCTGTACTGGTTTATTCCATTTTATTTTTTTTCCAAGCTCTGGTGCCCACAGTAGTGCCAAAGTCAGGGTCCCAGAACTCCTTTTGAGCCTCCCACAAGGGCAGCAGAGACCCGTGTCTGGAGGCGGCACCTGGCGCCTCCAGCGTGTGCATCAGCAGGAGTCTGGATCGGAAGCAGAGCTGGGTCTTGCGTCCCGGCACTCTGACATGGGATGGGGCCACAGCACAAAGCCTGGCCCACGTCTTCTATGGGTTGACTGTGACAGAAAGGGACAGAGGGGAACACGGGACAGGCTGTCCTCAGTGACCTCACCCGCACTGGTGCTGACCGCACCCCTTCCTCCGAGGACAGCCGTGATTTGATTGTATGAGCAAATGGGAGGAGACGGAGGGCAGGAAACAGTTTCTGACCTCAGTCACAACACAGGCCGGGCAACACCGCGATGTTCCAAACAAAACAAACAAAAGGAAATAAATTGCAGGTAGAAACGCGCGTTTCCTAGAAACCCGCATCATTTGGACAAGCTCCCAAGTTCAGGGGGTGGGAAAGACAATATCAGAGGCATCCCTCCTCATCACCAGTGTCCCAGGTTTTGCCAAATTCTTCCCCACAGAGCAGACTACAATCCCACACAAATACACACATCACAAATGAGTTGCAGATATGAAAATGGAGCTCCAAGCCCACGCGAGTCAGACCTATGTGTGCACCAACATTGTCTTTCATTCATTCTAAATTCCTTTTAGTCTAAAGAGAGCAGAAGCGTTCTGGAATCTGAGGTCACATTCCAGAGACAGAAACAGGTGCGGTGGTTGAGACTGTCCTTGGACTATCTCCGTTCCCTACTTGACCTGGGGTCAAACTCCAGCTAAGCCTGCAGTTCCAGCTTGCTGCCAAGGCTCGCCCTAGGACACAGCAGTGTTGTTAAGTCCCCGTTATCCATCTGGGAGACCAGGACTGTGTTACAGGGTCCTGCTTCATTCAGCCTAGGCTAGTCCTGGCTGTTAGAATCATGTGAGGAGTGAACCAGCAGATGGAAGACGCCTGTTTGTCTTACTCTCCATCTTAGAAAGAAATGGAAAGTAAGACAAACATTAAAAAAAATATTTTCAGAATTAAATACTACATGTAAAACTAAAACCCAAACCCACACCCTGAAAACATTTATCTTCTCTGGAATAACAATCATTGCTTTCATGATAGGATGTATTTACTTCAAGTTGTTTAAAAAACATATGCACATACATATGAGTGTGTGTGTTTACAAGTATTATTTTTAAAGTTCATGAAACTGAGTGTTGTAAAAAAAAAAAATAATACATGAAGCCTGGCACCATAGCCTAGCAGCTAAAGTCTTCGCCTTGCATGTGCTGGAATCCCAAACGGGCACTGGTTCTAATCCCGGCAGCCCCACCTTCCCATCCAGCTCCCTGCTTGTGGCCTGGGAAAGCAGTTGAGGATGGCCCAAAGCCTTGGGATCCTGCACCCATGTGGGAGATCCCAAAGAGGCTCCTGGCTCCTGGCTTTGAATTGGCTCAGCTCCAACTGTTGTGGCCACCTGGGGAGTGAGTCAGCAGGTGGAGGATCTTCCTCTCTGTCACTCTTCTTCTCTGAATGCCCGACTTTCCAATACAAATAAAATAAAATGTTTAAAAAAATACATGGGTTTCAATTTTTTCCAAAAAATTAATTCCTTTTTTTTTCAAAAATTTCTCAAAGTCAGCTGTCTTGATCCTCAAACTGACATTTTATACTCACACACCTCCAGATGCACTGGAGAGAGATACACACTCTGGGAATGGTCACTAAAAGAATAAAAGGGGTGTGTGTGTGTGTGTGTGTGTGTGTGTGTGTGTGTGTGTGTGCATGTTGCTTGGCAGATGATATGGGAAGTCCTTACAGACAGTTAAGTCAAGCACAGAATTCATGCAATGACAGAGGGTGGGAAAGAAGGAAAGACAGATGACAAGAACGGTTTCCCTCAACACCTTCTCAAGGAAGAACGTGGGGTCGGCACTAAGTGGGAGAGGAGGAAGGTGGAGGTGGGCAGACAGCTTGAGGAGGAGGGATGAATGACACACTGAGCTCTGGGGACATAAGGGCGAGTGGGGTGGGTCAGGGCAAGCGGGAGGAAGCAGTGGGAAGTCAGCTCTGCGAGCTTTCTAGGAGCCCAGAGATATACAATCACTGGAAGAATCTCCTGGTTTTTAAGTACTGAGCATTGAAAACGCAAGATTCCAAAACGAAACTATGCAGATGACACTCGGCTGGGCCAGTCCAGGTTGAATCTGAAGCTTGGGGGATTTGGGCCCACTAACTTCCATATGTATTTCTCCGTTGGCACAACCCATGGCTTAATGAAGCATTCTCTGGAAAATGAGTATGTGGCACACAGCTGTTTGGAAGGCATACATCTTTCATTTTTCCACATATAAAGCCATTGAGAGCGAGCATTCAACTAGCAACTAAGATGCTCAAGATGTCCAGGTCCCATTTCAGAGGGCCTGGGTTCAACTCCTGGTTCTAGCTCTGAATTCCAGCTACCTATCAATGTAGACTCTGGGAAACAATGGGTGATGGATCAAGTAGCTGTGTCCCTGACACCCACATGGGGGGACCTGGATTCAGTGACTAATTCCTGGTTCCACCCCTGGAAGCATCCTTGGCCATTTGGTCATGTAGGAAGTGGTTAGGAGTTTGCTTGCTCGCTCTCTTTTCTCTGCCTCTCCCTGTGTGGGCCTCTCTGTGCATGTGCCTCTGCCTCTCTCTACCTCTCTAAGATTTTTAAAAAGATATTTCTGGCCATGAGGGCTATTCTCTTCTTCTTTTTTTTTCAATCTTATTTTGGAATGAGTTTCAAGGAGACAGGATAAAACTACCTGACAAAATACCCTTTGCTTTTCAGTTCCAAGCGATCTTCAAATGTATCAGAACAGTTTCAGAGCGTGTCACCTTGGACATACTTGGTCCCCACCCTACACATCCTATGAGTGGTAGGAAAGACTCCAGGTTTACCCAGAGATAGGACACAGGTTCCTGGCTCCAGATCTGAAGGTCCATTATGACAAGTGCCAATCATACATTACCTAGAGAAAGGAAATCTTGATGAGTCAGCCACTGTAAGACTGCGAACTCAGAGGGCTTCAGGTGGAGACGCTGAGCCTCTCTCATTTAGCAAGGATAAGACCCGCAAGGGCATAATGTTACTGTTCGAGACGCGGTGCAATTAACCACCGGCCATTGTCACCAAGCTCCACCCAGGGGTTTAAAAGCCGAACACAACAACTGGGAGTTATGAATACAAAAATCAGTGTCTCCTCTAACAAAAACAAAACAAAACAAAACAAAACACACCAAGTTTGTTTCTTAACTTTCAGAGCTTTGAAGCAGAAAGCTCTGGGAGAGATAAGCAGGTTTAGAAATGGGCTTCCAGATGGAAGGACACATCATCCATGCCCTCGAGAAAAATGCTGAATAAGGATCTTCTGATGAACAAACCTATTTGACAATCAAGCTGACTTGGGCATCGGGGGTCTGAAAGAGGAGCACCCTACCTTGAAGATGAAATCGGCCATCAGAGGCCCTGCGATCTTAAAGGTCTGCCGCTCGGAGCCCTTCTGAAATTCCACTGTCGTGTTTTCAATCATGAAGATGCCAGGGTTGTTGAAGCTGTGCTCTCCTTTGCTTCCATGAAGAGTTTTTGATTCGATGACTGCAAGGTTTAAAAAAAAAAAAAAGAGTAAAACTTGAATGACAGAAGCAGCTTGGTCTTGAAAGACGTTCTCTTGATTGGATCAGCACATGGCATCAACACGATATCAAAACGCATACCCAGTAGACGCACACTGATTCACGTGGCAGGAACGGAGGTGTCGGCCATTTAGCTTTCCATACAAAGGTGCCAAGAAAGATGCTGGGGTAAAGAGGAAATGTTTCTTTCTTACAGTTTTCACCACTGCCTAACACTGAAAATAAAACTGAATTTACTCATTTTACTACCTGCTTGGAAGATCCTTAAGCTTTTATTCAGGAGTGAATCTCAAATACGATCTCATTGAAACAGAAAAATCTCTTTCAATTCTGAAATAATGATAGATTCACAGGTAGATGCCAAAACAGCCAAGGGAGTGCCTAGGTAATCTTCATCCAGTTTCCTCCCACGGTGGTCCCTTACAGAACGGTAGTGCAAGATCATGACCAGGAAGCTGACATCGCCATCGTGGTCACACATGCTGCTATCAAAATAAAGAGTCCCTCCACTGCCACAGAGACGTCCCTCACGCTACCCCGTTAGTACAATGTGCTTTTATAAGAACTGTGCTGCTTTTATTGATTTCCTCCAGAAAACTGTGCTGTTGGAATAAAACAGCATTTGCATTCCATGGGAGTTCTTTCTTTCTTTCCTCTTTCTTTCATTTTGAAAGAGCCCCTGCTAAGCAGCTGAGGTCGGAGATTAAGAAAGGTCATGTAAGCATGCATGTGTGTGTATGGCTGGGTGCTGGCAGAACCCTGTTTCTGCCCCCCAGCTCTTTTTCTAACTCATTGCTTTGGTTTTTCTGTACTCGGAGAGGACAATGTCCTTTGGGCATCACTACTCTGACACCTACATTTGATTCAATTGTGTTATACAAATGACCAAAAACTCTATTTGGTCTCAAACTTAAAAAATGAGAAGCTGAGGGAAAAAAAAAAAAAGAAAAAGACAGAATGGAGCAGCATGAGGAAGCTTCAGTGTGCAGGCTTCTGGCTTTGGTGGTTTTCATTTGCTGCATTTTTTCTTTCTCTCTGCTGCTGGAGCAGCTGCAGGAGCTCAACTGCCCTGGATAGACTGTTTCGAGGCATTCGGAGACATCCCTGATTATCCTTGACAGGCCGGCTGGGAACTTTTCTGGGAAAACTCAAAGGCTGTACACGAGCGATTTGGTCTGGAGGAGTCATTAGCGGTCACACAAAATCCCCACCACGTTGGCCACAATCTCCATGACCGCAGTGGATTTTTGGAAAGTGTGAGATTAAATTCATTTCCTAGTTCCAATGAAGATATAAAACCGAGTGTCATAAAACGAGTTGTCAGTAAGAAAATGAGATGGAGATCCGGAGAGAGCAAGCAGGCCCCATCCTGAAGTAAACTGGGTCTCCAAAAGTAGAGGAGAAAAAGCTAAGGAAACATCAAGGTGATTCCAACCTCGCAGTGAAACTCAGAGATCTGGGATCCGGGGAAGTAGCACAGTGGTGAAACCACGACTGCCCCTTCTACGCCCTCCCACCCACACAGCCATGGAAAACCAGTGCATCCTATCTGAATGTCACCAAGTCACGTCAGATGAAACCTGCTTGGAGGGACTTGATGTTTTGCATGCTCTACATAAGAATGGATTGCGTCCATTTTCACTGGGAAGGTCATCAGGGAGTACAAGACAGCCAGGTGCAAGGATACCCTTCTCCAAAACAGCCCAGCACCTCTGTACGTTAGCATGCATGTTCTCGACTTCAAGGCTCTGTTCATTTCCATTATTTCAAGAGCACTGAAGACTTTCAAGTATAAGGTCAGAAAACACAACCAGCAATTCAGATATATGTGCATAACCCAAGCTACTCTTCAACTCCACTGTGCTGTATGCTGCTCCTACAATGCCTTTAGTCTAATCATTTCAAAGACTTCCAGTTCTCTAGGTCACAAGTGCCAAAGTTTGTAGATCCAAGAGGTAGAGAGCAGGTGCTGTGATTTCCATCATGCATCCGAGTAATTAAAGTTGAAAGTAGGTGAATAAAGATGGGTGAATTGGTCTGAGGCAGGTGGAGCTAGGAACACCAATCAGCCGGGGCATTGGCATAAACAGTCACCGTGCCAAAGGAAGGTAAAAGGTAAACAGAGCTCACATGTTATCTTTTCTTGGCTTAATTCCTGTACTTCTTTTTAAAATATTTACTTATTTTTATGATTTTTCCCTCCATTTATTCACTCCCCAAGCAGCTGCAACGGCCGGAACTGAGCCGATTCAAAGCCAGGAGCCCAGAACCTCTTTGGGGTCTCCCACATGGGTGCAGGATCCCAAGGTTTTGGGCTGTCCTCAACTGCTTTCCCAGGCCACAAGGAGCTGGATGGGAAGCAGGGCTGCCGGGATTAGAACCAGTGCCCATTTGGGATTCCAGCACATACAAGGTGAGGACTTTAGCCACTGTACTATCGCGCTGGGCCCAATTCCTGTACTTCTTAAAATAAATGACAGGACAGGAATTCGTAGGGTTTTAGTCAACAGCCCAACTGTTGCAGTGACTGGAATGATGCCTTTATCTATTTCTCATCCATGCTGGCTATTTTTCAGAGAAGTAATGGCTAGAATGAGGATAGATGCAACTGCTGGCCTTGAGATAAAATTTTTTTTTTTTTCCAAAAGAGGCAGTCTGGGGTAATAATCACAGGGAAGATTCCTTAAATCCCCAAAGCCATGGAACTAATGTTAAGTAAATAGGCAGTGAGTATTTAGCATTGCTAGTTTAATTATAAATACATCAAATTTATGCTCACAGTAGAACTATTCTTTTACATGTATTATTTGATTCAGCATCAGTATCTTTCAGTTGGTCATTATGTCCACTATTCATACTTAACGTTTGTGTACTTTTGTATGTGGCCACCCAATAGGAATGAGAAGAAAAAAGTAATTGCATTGGTAAGGAAGGTCTTGCATTTACAGCATCTTCATTTCTCCAGCTTATTGCTTGTCACGCACACTTAACGCGGGAGCTTGCTACACTGACATCTCTTTCGTAGAAACCCTCTTTGCAAAGGTTTGGAGCATGTGTGATGAGAGGGTAGGGCTCGGGGTGGTGGGTGGTGGTATCAGGAGGTGGCAAAACCTTGGAGGAGGGGAACCCAATGGGGGCATGAGATAGGCTTTGTGCAACCCCTTGACAGTTCTCACAAAAGGTTGTTTAAAAGGAGTGAGCCCGGGCCGCCATCACTCAAGCCCCAACCCACCACCTGGATCCCAGATGTCATGCATCCACACACGTGCTGCTGTCATCAGAGGATGTCACCTGCTTTGGGCCCTCATCTGTGGGCCCAACCAACGAACCCCTGTCCTTGTGGAGTCTGAACTTTTAGAGTGCTGAGCTCAGTTTGTGTCTTTCCTTTATCAAGTTAGCCTGTGGCATGTATCTTGTTACGGCGATGCAAAGTGACCTAACAGGGAAAATGTTTATTGCCGGGCAAACACATGAAATGCTAAAGTGCTGCTACTATAAGATCTTGTGTGCAGCGATCCTCTTACCGCCTCCGGTTTTGAAAGGATGCACTACTGGAAAATGCGGGGGTGTGTTCCCTGCAGGGCTGTGGCCAGACTTGGATCTAAAATCTTCTAGGCAGGACACTAGACACATATTGCATAACTAAATTTCATTCCACAACAAAGAGCCTGACATGAGCCTTATTGGGTGTTCTCGGCTCTTTGTCAAGCAGCCTCCTGGGGAGTTGTAGTTAATGCAAACCTTAACAGGATGATTTGTAATGACAAAGTATATCTTTTTTCTTTAAACAAATAAATATTGCAAGAACGGTGGTGTGAGTCAAGCAAGCAAAGACGCTTCTGTAAGTAGACACTCAGGAATGTAAACAAAAGCTTTCAGAAGTGAAGGCCGTTCTGTGCACCAGCGCAGAAAGACAACTCCGCAACCCTTTCAACTGAGATCCTCCAGGAGGAAGAAAATGTTTTAAGCAGTGGATCTGCCACTTCTGGAGACACAGCGACGTTTTCTGAGCCCTGATCCTGGAAAAGTGCCAGCCTTCCACAGGAAGTTCTGCTTAAGATGCCAGAACATACATACATGCCAGGGAAGTTCTCCTTTCCCCTTCACTTCTGTTTATTGTGTATGTACCCTAGTTTTATAAACTGAATGTCATTTTGATACACAGCTCACATGATGCCCAGTTCACCCATGTGAAGTACATACACTGAATAACTTAAACATATTCATAGGGCATGCCATCACCAGGATCTTTGAAGGGAGACACTCCTGGATCTAAGGTTAGAGTATTTGGAACACCCCTAAAGGAAACCCCAGATTCAAGAGTGAGCTATCTCCCAAACTCCCTGCCACCTCTAGCTTTCCCTGTCGGGGACTTTCCTCACACATGGAGCCTTGTAAGCTCTAGGTTTTTGTGACTGGTTTCTAAGAATCATCTGTAGGACAGAAAATAAGGATTCCACTCCTTTTGAAGTACAACAGTTGGTGGACATTTGGGTTGTTTCCACTCGATGGTTATTACGAATAATGCTAGTTATGAATATTCAGAGCTTCATATTTCTGAATCCCAAATAGTTTGCAGGGTGATTAATCAAATGATTCACAAAATTTAGATTTTTTTGCTCATGTCCAAACATCAAATTCGAATCTCATCCAGAGCTGTAGGCTTTTGAGCCACTGAAAAAAGAAACTTAACACATGGTCTGATGCTTCATTACAGAGAAAAATCTCAAATGAAATGACTATTCTATGGTTGTAAACATTTCAGTCATTTTGTTTTAATAATCAATTATTCTTTCAGTCATAACTGTCATAATAAAGCTAAGGGTTAAAAAGAGTTTTGGGAGCCTGGCACAACAGCATAACTTGCTAATCCTCCCCCTTCAAGTGCCAGGATTTCATATGGGCGCCAGTTCTAATCCCAGCAGCTCCACTTCCCATCCAGCTCCCTGCTCGTAGCCTGGGAAAGCAGTCGAGGACGGCCCAAAGCCTTGGGACCCTGCACCCATGAGGGAGATCTGAAGGAAGCTCCTGGCTCCTGGCTTCAGATTGGCTCAGCTCTCCGACTATTGTAGCCACTTCGGGAGTGTCTCTGTGTCTCTCCTCCCTGTAAAAATCTGCCTTTCCAATAAAAATAAATGAATAACGTTTTTTGTGGTTTTTTTAAAAGAGCTTTGACAATCTTTCATTTTCAATGTCATAAAGAAATTTTCTTGCTTTGCTAATTTGGATGATCAGACTCGATAGTATTTTTTATCAAAATTTTAATCTGATGAAGACCTTAAGTCTTTTTGCTATACATTTTTTTTTCAAAAGACATTTCTGATTAGAATTATGGTTCTAGATTTAAAACATCCAAACACATTCCATGCTTTGGCCTTGAGAAACTCTCCCATGATTTATAAATCTACGATAGTGGCCTGTGGGAAGAGAAAAAGGCAGATGTACAGCACTTTGATTCAGTGGTCCTTGATTTGCACGGCTGTCCTACAGCTGTTGGGAGCACTGTGTGGGCAGAGTCGGATGGACACTGCCAGCTTCTTCAAGGCCAGGGCAGATGACCCACTTTCTTCTGAATACAACTGGAAGGCCTCGGCCAGAACAAACAAACAAGTAGTTCCAGTTCCTTTAGGTTTTAACAATCAGATTGACTAACACAGAGTAGAAGCCACGTCCCTTTGCCAAAGAAATGATAACCTCATCATTGTCTATTTTTCAAAAACTTCATGTTCTGGGAAATCTTGGTCCACTCTGAGTACTCCATAGCCTGGCCTTGCTACTCAGCCGTAGACACCAATTAACTTGAAATTTTTTGAGTTCTTCCCATCCACCGCCGCCCCCAATTTCCTGACAAAGCTGATAATCTAAAATATTCCTAGTTTACTCTTCACATAAACAAACCTTATTTCAAATAAAATCTGATTTTCATCTTCCATGGGAGGAATTAATTCCAAACTGGTATCTTTTCCGTGGGAGCATGAGACCAGAAAAGTTAAAATGCCGATTATTTCTCTGGAGACACTGACTATTTCAGTGTCGTGGACTAAATTCATGAAATTACTTCTTTTTCTGAAACATAATTAATAACGCTAAATCTTTTGATTCATGTACATGGATGTCCTTTGGTTTGTTTAGGTCTTCCCTCTTTCAACATAATTTTTATAGCCTTGTTTTCATAACATGCATGTTACATGAACTGTGTGAAGACCCCTTGTAAAGGACCTGGTACGGTGCCCGGTCTGAAATCAAAACCATGAAAATCCACATCTACTTACAGAGATGGGCAGGTCCTTTCACTGTGATTCTCACGCTTCGACTCCCCAGAGGCACAGCAATCACCGTTTCTTCTCCTAGGAGAGGACACAGGACAGCTAGCACCGTACCTCTTGACACCCATGACCACGAGCACGTGAGCCAAGCCCGGGGCACCCGGCACAGAGAGATTCATTTCCAGCCTACAGCCAAGAAAGCCTTGCACAGAGGTCACTATGCGTGAGGTGGATTAACTACCACTCACAGAACCTGATGGGAACACAGGTCAAAACAACAGTAAAGGAAGTCTAGAGAATGATCTGATCTCCCACCTCAATGTTTCTGTTCTACAGGACTCATTCACGTGCTTTGAAGGGGTCAGGGATGTTGGTCCAAATCTTACCACACCCAGTCATTTAGGACTGCTTCTCTTCTTTAAAGGCACAATTGCAGTAACACAGACCCCATGGATCCCACAGTCTAAAATAGTGTGTTGGCTTAAGACAAATATCTGGAAATCTTAGGTCTAAATAATTACCTAACAGAAATCATGGTTCACACAGGTTTTTTTTTCCAAGCTATTACACATTCTGATAATTTAACTTTTACATACACAAAATCATCTAAGGACACATATGCAATGTTAACCCACCAGTGTTTTTTGTGTCCAAGTGACACTAGAATGTTACCAATGACATGAACAACTTGGAGCAGATGCTGATTTTACTTATTTATTCATTTTGCTTTACAGAGGACTTCATGTCTATCTCTTGTTAAGTTTGTATATTCTATTAAATAGCTACTATTGAAAGGAAAGGGTAAACTACCAGTAAACTTACTGCCCTAGGATCATCTGTGGTGACACTCTGACAAATGAATTGTTTCTGAATTGTTGCTGGTGTTTAAATATATGTAAGAAGAAACTATGGATTCTGTCTACCTGTCCATCAGTAACTGTAAGCCGTCCATCACTGTAACTGCCATCAGTACTACAGCAGTTACATACCTAAGAGTATTCATATGAAGAAATACTCTGCAAATGGGCATTTAACACAACTGGTAAATTGGTACTTGGGATGCCCACATACTACATTTTGTGTGACTTGCTCAAGTCCCGGCCCCCTCTGCTCTTTATTCAACTTCCTGCCAATGTGCACCTGGGAGGCAACAGACAATGGTTCACGTACGTGGATCCCAGTCACCCACAGACACCAAGATTGAAGTCCTGGCTCCTGTCTTCAGACAAGTCCAGTTCTGCAGTTGTATGCTTTTGGGGAGTGAGCCAGTGAATGGATGGTTTCTCTGTTTCTCTGATTTTCAAATACAATTAAAAATCAAAAAGTTAAAAAAAAAAGTGATGTTCCCCACGTGGTAGTCTAGCAGCTAAAGTCCTCACCTTGCATGCTCAGGAATCTCATATGGGTGCTGGTTCTAATCCCAGCAGTCCCACTTCCAATCCAACTCCATGCTTATGGCCTGGGAAAGCAGGGGAGGATGCCCAAAGCTTTGGGACCCTGCACCTGTGTGGTAGACCTGGAAGAGGCTCCTGGCTCCTGGCTTTGAATCAGCTGAGCTCCTGCCATTGCGGCCACTTGGGGAGTGAACAAATGGACACAAGATCTTTCTCTCTGTCTCTTCTCCTCTCTGATATCTGACTTTCCAACAAAAAGCAAATAAATCTTAAAAAGACAAAAAACCCAAAGTAAAGTATAACCAAAAATATGGAGAACCCCATTATAGAAGTATATGTATTTAAGTAATACGTTCTCGTGTATATGCAATTTGTAACATATAAGTATATATTATAGTATATTATGTATACACATAATAGTATGTAAATAATCATATTGTGAAATTGCACATTAGTAAATAATAGAGTAATATTTCCATTTTTTTCAAATATTTATTTTTATTGGAAAGTCAGATCTACAAAGAGACACAGAGACACGGAGAAAGATCTTCTGTCAGCTGGCTCACTCCTCAAGTGGCCACAGCAGCCAGAGTTGACCTAATCAGAAGTCAGGACTCAGGAGCTTTTTCCAAGTCGCCCATGCAGGTACAGGGTCCCCAGGTTTCGGGCCATCCTCAACTGCTTTCCTAGTCTACAAGCAGGAAGCTGGATGGGAAGTGGAGCAGCTGGGACAGGAGCCAGTGCCCGTATGGGATTCTGGCACCTGCAAGGTGAGGATTTAGTCACAGAGCTATCGCGCCAGGCCCGACAGTTTTATTCTTTAGTCCTTTAACCACATGGAAGAGTTTTTACCAAATCATTGGCAAGTGACTATCTCTAGTTAGGGAACTAAGAGATAGGGAGTGAAGTGGAAAACATGCTTTTAGTTTTGTTCTGTTTTCTATAATTAAAATGATGAGTCATTTAAAGTTTTTGAAACTAAAAAGTTTGTTAAAAAAGAAAAAAAAAACAGAAATTTTTGCTATACGAATTTTGCAAAACCTTGAGCAAATATGTAAATTTTAAGTAATAGGAAGATTGAAATGCTATTGCCAGTTAGTGATATAAGCCAACACAACCCTGGTAACGAAGGAAAACAGAATGCACAAAAATATGTATATGTTGACTTTAAATATCCCTATGGGTAAAATTATTAAATAAGGTAGAGGTCAGTATCGTAGTGTAGCAACACCACCATTCCATATCAGAGTCCCAGTTGCAATTCCAGCTGCTCTGTTTCCAATACAGACCCTTGCTAATGTGCCTGGGAAGGCAGAGGACAATGGTCCACATACATGGGTCCCAGCCAACCACACAGGAAACCCAGAGAGAGCTCTGGGATCCCGTTTTCAGCCTGGAGCAGCCCCAGTCATTGTGGCCATTTGGAGAGCGATCCATCGGACAGAGTTCTCAATATGTCTCTCATTTCTCTCTGCCTTTCAAATTAAAAAAAAAAAATTTTTAAAAGAAAAAAACCAACTCTAGAAATCTATCACAAAAACTGCAGCACACATGGCTAAACAGAATACATTGCAAACACAAATGATTTGTTCAATATTTGTGGTTATATGGTTGGGTTACATGAACACATCAAAGAAATTAAATAGTATGATCACTTCAATGAATATTAAAATGTATGTGTTAAAATTCAGCAAAACAGTCACTAATAAGTCCCTATTGAAGTCAAGGACAGAAGAAGTCATCCTCAATTTGATTAAGAAAATCAGAATCCATAGGCACACTCATTGGCAAAATATCGAATTAACAAAGTGCCCCAACAAAAATATCATCACCATTATTTTCCCATACTGTTCTGGAGATCTTAGTCAATGTAACTTAGGGGGAAAAATACCTTATAGGAATTATATGCTAGAAAGAAAATAGTTTAAAATGTCATTATTTGTAGATCACATGATTACTTGGAATTTTAAGGAAAAATAAGATTACATTACAAGAAAGTTCAACCCAGCATCTTGACCTGATAGGATCCAGAGGTGGATACCTCAGCAGGCCTTGGAATCAGAATGGGGGCTTCTCCATTCCCCTGTTATCCTTCTTCTTCTGCTTTCCTGCTTACTACTGATACAGTATAACTAGACAGTCAGCTACAGTTCAGGCAAGCTGGAACTCCAGTACCCCTGCAATGTAGCTCTATCTTTACACCCTTGGCTTGATGCACCCATCTTCCCAGAATGCACCTGCCCTATCTGGGATCAGAGTGCATGTTTAGGACCAACCCCACTTCATCTCCAACTGGAGCTGTGCCCTCTTCTCTGTAAGAAGAGGTGGAAGGTGGAAGATAGGTTTCTTTCTACCATGGAGCAATATACAACACCCATTTACTCTCTTTTTCACTGTGGCTGGGTTTTATTTCTTTTTCTCTTGTTTAGTGCAACTTTTTTGCCCACCCATACTGGGTATTTTTTCTCTGTGTGCCCACCCACACATGTCTCCACACAGCGTTTTTATCTCTGCAAGAGACAAGAACCTGAATTGGAAATCAAATACTCACTGCCCACAAAACTATCACGGTCAATGACTGGGGAGAAGGCAGTCCTGAGGGGATGAAAAACCTAACAACATTCTCCAAATTCGCCTCCATTTGCACCTTGATAACTGATAAGCAGACAAAGGATCTGTTAATTGGGAATATCCTTAATAATTAGTGAGAGTTGCTGAAAGAAATGCTTCCTTTGTTGTGTGACAAGGGAAGGAGATAGTGGGAATGGAGAGGTCCCTAACCAAACCACCTCTGGGAGAAGCAGCTTCCCAGGGCTTTTACAGCAAGGGTCGAGGAACATCCAGGAGGCAGGGAAAGGCAAAGGGCAGAGGGTCCTTCTTGCTCAAGCAGCACACATCTCCAGCAGCACTCTGACTCAGCCAGGTCTCTTGCAGCTTCCTTTGCAGTGGGTTGGCTACCTCTGAATACAAAGAAGCCTTCCTGAAATGCTTGCAGACAAGAAGACTCAAGGGACTGGACCTATTTCAGGTTCTCTTCTTGGGATTCTGTGCCCCCACTCTCACCTCTTACTAAATCCTCAACTCTGGGCTGCCTAATCACGGAGGTCAAGACACTGAGGGAAACCATGAGTTTGAAAGATGGAAGACTTGCCTCTGAGTGGCTGTGGTTTGCTCAGACACTCATATCTCAGAGGAAGCAATTGACTTGGAATGGTTTCCAGTCCGTGAGCATCATGTTGGAACAACCAACTTGGCGAATACCTGCAATACAGTTCTTTAACCACTTTATTTCTGCTGTTCATTTTGGGCAAATGTTCTAGTGTATCTCTCCAGAGCCAACCTAGTAAGGAGGGTGGCTCACATGGAAGAAAAAGCGCTAGAGTCACATGTCCTACAAAGTCCATAACAAGATTATGGAGACAAAATAGGCTTTTGACAATTATAAGGCACTTACGGATTCCTAAATTACCTAGTAAATGCAATCACTGATATTTTTGGAGAAGAAAGTGGGAAAATCAAAATGGTCACTAACCTAATGATAGTGAGTAAAGTGGGAAGATTCCAAAATTATTTACTGATTTAAATGTTTATGCTCATCTTCCTGAAAGGCAGAATGGTTTTCTACTCCATCTGCTGTCACATTCCTCAAACGTTTACAACAGCCAGAGCTGAGCTAAGGCTGAAGCC